CTCTAAATCTCCTGCCTATCTAGTTTCAGGCCATTCTTCATACAGAGGGCTTTCTGGACCACCATGGTTCTGGAGCTCACACTGGTCAGTAATAACTCCAGAAGGACAGAATACCAGCTCTTTCTCCAGCCTCCAACCTGTTTCTTTGACCTGTTGGAGGCTGGAAAGCTCAAAGCTGTAATGATTATAACCAGCCTACTAACAAACAGTACGTGTTGCTGAAGGTGAAACCAGTCAAACTTGAGGACCTGACATTTCCTGCAATTATGGGTTTCTTTCTTTCTTCAATCCAAGAGTAGTAATAATGGGCTCTTAGTGAATGAACGAGCTAAAAATCAAAGGTCACTGTTATCAAAGTTGCCCAGCCCTCAACCTGTTCACTGGGAGACAGCCTCCTTTCTCAGGATTAGCTACTGCAGTTCTCAGATACAGGAAACGTAAAAATAAAAAAGTCTCTGGTCCACAAAAACAACCTGCTGGGTTCACTTTTGTAAGAGATAATTAGATGAAGGTCTGTGAGAAAATGAATATGTGGTTATAGTGTATATCAAACACAAAACAGAACTAGCTTTACACACATGAAATAAGTTTGTTTTTACATGATGTGTAACAGTTCATTTATTGTCCTGAATATAATCTACTGCACTTCAGACATCGCACTGGCTTTTATGTCAAAATACCTATAAACATCAAATAGTCAGAATACTAAACAGTGGGCAGGTGTAGTCATCACCAGGCTGAGTGTGATGTAACCTAAGCCCTGACTCAGATGTTTCTAGTCCTCAGGTTTCTGCTCTACACCTTTGTTTAAACAAAGTACCTGGTGTATCAGGATTCACGTAGGACTAACCAGGTTCTGCCTGCCATCACATCTGAAAGGTGCTTTAGTTACTAAACACTGAAATCAAGCCTGTGCCGACGGTGTTTGAATTCAGTCAGAAAGATGAGGCCACTGATACTGTCCTGAGATCTGCCGCCTGCTGTGCAACTGGTACAACGAGAGCACAGAACCTTACAGGTCTGTGTCAAAATGTGCGTACCGATGCCAGAGGAGTCCTCCACCATGGGGTTGATCTCCACCATGGACGCGTCGTACTTGATGAACAGATTGTACAGTTTGATCATGATCTCTGCTGCCTCGCTCACCAGTGCCGGCGGGAAGCCCATCTTCTCAGCCACCTGCAGTAACACGAAGCATTTCATTACACATCAACAATGGCTGTTGAAACACTGGCTGCAGACGGATACTGTGGATAAGATCGGCAGCAACACATCATCATTTAGGTGGAGGAGACCAAACAGAGAGGGACCACTGGGAAAATCTTTGGCTGTCACTCGGGGTTGGTTTTTTTTTAATCTCATTGATGAGTCTTCGTTGTGCTCTTGGGGTGATTTTGACTGGGTGCCCATTTCTTGGTAGAGTAGCCACAGTCCCAAAGTGTCTCCATTTGTAGACCATTTGCCTAACTGTAGACTGGTGAATTTCTGTCTCTGAAATCACACTATAACCCTTTCCAGCTTTAAGTAAATCAACAATTCCTGATTGTAGATCCTCTGAAAGCTCTTTTTGGCGAGGCATGGCTCACATAAGCATATTCTTTTTGTGTGGAGCAAACTCAAAAGGTTTGAGTGGTTTTTATTAAAGTAGCTCTAGTCCACACCTCCAAACTCATTTTCTTAACAAGACTCCAGGTATGCCAACACCTGACTCCAATTAGCTTTTTTTGAGGTCATTAACTCGAGGGTTCACATACTTTTTCCACTAGCACTATGAGGTTTTTATGGTTGTTCTCAATAAAGACATGAAAGATCAGAATTTGTTGTGTTGTTATATTAGGCACATTATATTCATCAGTACTCTTGACTTAGATGAAGATCAGATCACATTTTTTGGCAAAATTAATGCAGAAAACCATGAAATTGCAAAAGGTTCACATACTTTTTCTTGCCACTGTAGTTACAAGCACTCACACCTTAATAACAAATATCTTGAATGCCAGCAGCGTGTGCCAGTTACAACTTAGATCTGTCATTTGCCAGCTTCAAACGTTTTTAAAGCTAAATCCACAGAGGCCAGTTCGGGTGTTCCCAACCCACTGACTCATCACTCCAACTTTTTAAACTTACAGTTCTTCTGCAGATTATTCAGCATTTTAAATTCTTCACCAAATCTACATCACCTTAAAGGATTTTGTTTTTTGGCAACTATGCTTATTGCTTTAAGATGTCCTCAAATTAAAAGAATAATTACACAGTAAATGGCTTAATGATTTTATTTCTGACTTCCTCAGAATTCTGACTTTTAGAAAAGCAACAATTCTGAGAAAAAGAGAACTCAACTTTTTTTCAGTGGTCCTAATTCTCTTCTGTATAAAACACATCAGTAACAGAGTCATTTCAAAAAGCTACCATCACTGCACCGAGGAGTGTTTGATTTCAACCTCCAATATCCAAATACAAGGCAAAAGCTGAAACAGAAACGCTGCAGTTTTTGTGAAGACATTTTGTAGTTGTATAAACATGGCTGCAGTGGACAAAAACGAATAATGGAGTAAAGGAACATCAATGGACCTCCATCCACCTGGGTAGGTCTGCAACCAGCACCTCTTCTCTCTGTCAAATATATTGAGCATCACTATGACAACCAACATATTCGATATCCAGAGCACAGAGCCAGCCAGAGGAGACGTGCCGCACAATGATCCTTAACCTCAGACCAGAATGGACAAAGGTGTCTGTCCAAAATGTCAAGCACAGCTACAAACACTGACAGACCAGTTCCTGCTATTTATATACATCTGCAAATGCTGCACCCATGCATGAACCAGGCACGTCGCACCACTTGTTATGATTGTTGCTGCAGAGAAGCAGTCAAAGGTCAGGACACGCTGCCCTGACACCGTCTTAACTGGACTTGTCTGTTGCCTTACAAAGTACTTCTGACTAACATGTACGCCAGGGGTGACCGCAAAGGTAGTGTTGGTAGATCGCGTGCCATTCAAAAAAAAAAAAAAGATGTTAGCCTATCATCCATCCTCCCTATGGCATTTGCCACTTGATTGACACGCAGGGCAGCCAGTCTGAGATCTTGTCTTTTCTAACACACGAGTCACCAAGCATGCGCAGTCAACTGCACAAGCTACTACCAAACTCCAGTGAGCGAACTACCTTGTCAGCCTTCCAATTAATTTCTACTAAAGAAAGCGTATAAAATGAGTAGGGGAGCTGAATCAAGTAAGAAACCGAAAACGTACCACTTCCAACGAAGTGCGTTTGCTTGATCTGCCAATCTACCATCGTTATTCCGAAGAAGGGAAATGTGGAGTGGCGACAAATGTCACCAGCTGGATTAGAACCACCAATGTCATGTAGCGTTCGTCTCTGTGTTAGCCCAGGATGTACCTCGCCTTCGCCCGATTGCCGGCTGGGATTGGCTCCAGCCCCCCCCGTGACCCCGTTCAGGGACCAAGTGGTAGAAAATGAATGAATGAATGAATGTCATTTAGCGTGCATGCACCATGTATCGGTGCACCCCGAGTGTAAAGTCAGTTTGATGTCATCGATCACCGTCATCTTTGGTGCAGCTCTTGTTTATCCAGACAGGAACTAACAAAGACACTGGATGTGACATTTCAGTTTCTCCTTTTCAATAAATTTGCAAACATTTCAAGAATTCTATTTTTGCTTTGTCGTTACGGGGTACCGGATGTAGACCGATGAGGGTAAAATTTAGGCCTAAAATGTGAAAAGGTGAAGGGGTTGGAGTGTTTCTGAATGTTTTATTTTTCATTTCGATAGATGCTATTCTGTCAACACACTGTCACCATGGTTATGAGAAATGCACAGTGACAGCCCAGTTTAGACACTCGCTGCTCTTTTACAAATTTTATAACATCTTGTTTTAAGGCTGATGAGCAAGAACCGCTGAATCTTCCTTCAAGCCTCAAACCAATCACGTCAGAGCGCTTCTTCAAAGTCACCTTGACAAGACAGACTCACTAACGTGCAGCCTGATTAATCGGTCATACTATTTTCTTCAACAAAGGGTATATTCCTGACTGTGATGAATGATCTGAAAGATTGGAGTACTGGTCATAAAAACCATCAGACTGGAAAATCATAAAAAGGCCGATTCTTTTTAAAGCAAATGTTCATTTCAAACTGTAGACAACCGGAAAATACAGGCTGTTTTCTGTAAGACCTGGAGACCGATTATAACTGGGTTCAAGTCTGTGAACATGTTTAACAGACAGTAAATTATAAAAGTATATTTCGGAGTATCAAAAAACATCAAGTGGGAGGAAGGACAGAGGTCAGAGGATTTTCTCCAACCTGAAACTTGATTTGTAAGGCTGGATCTTGTTTAGAAAAGCCTTCTCTCTCTCTGAGAAATGAACCGCAGCAGCCCTTCGATCTCTCCTGCGGCCCAAACCACACAGCTGGAACATTTTGCCTGTTTTGTGGCTCCTCCTCTCTATTATTGATTACCTTGACAGCCTGCTCCATTTCAATACCCCCCACAATGTCAATGGGCTCCTTCACAATGGCGTCTGGATTTTCGGCTGCAACATCTTCGATGTTCACGCCACCGTGCGAGCTGCCAATCAGCACAGGACCCTGTGGGACACAAGAGAGGGGACAAGGAGTTTAATACCCTGAGCACTGCACTGCTTCAGGTCAAAAACATCAACTTAGTCTTTCTTTGAGTTTCAGATTTCAGTCTGTAAGATCTGAGCTGCCAGAAACCTGGTCCATCGAACCCTGAGGAGAAATTTGTCATCACATACTCTTTACATCTGAGAAGGGCAGGGTGCTCCTGTGTGATTCAAACCTCTATCAAAAAATCTCTTAAATAATTCTCAGGGGCTCATCCACATATTGTTTATTTCATTTTATTTATTTACAGACCCGTGCAGTGTTTTAGATTCAGCCCGAGACCGAGGACAAGCACCACTGGCTCAGGTCTCACGGTTTGGTCTACAAACTGCAGCTGTTAAATGTCTATTGTTAAGAAGGTGTAAAGTCCACCCTTGTTGTCAGCAAATGTCTACCACCGCTTCTGTAACTAACAATTATATTATTTAGCAATTATTCTGTTGACTATTCTCTCAATAATCAATTAGTTTTGTCTGTAAAGAAACAACAACGATGCAAATCCCATTTTCCAGGAGCCCACAGTGACGTCAGTTTACAATGAACGAAAACAAAAAAAAAAAAAACTAAATCCTCACACTAAAGACGCTGGAATAAGAAAATAACTTGAGCAGGTAACCAAACACCTTTGGGTGTCCTGATCTATTATAAAGACGATCATTATAGCTAGACAGTTGTTTGGGTTCCACACACTCCCAAACTGTTCACAGTCACATTTCCACACTGAGGCCTCCTCCCTGCATGTTCCTGGTTTGCCTCTAGCTTCACACACAGTCCCACTTTCAGCACTAAAATGTCTGAATTATCCTTAGACAAAAATCATTTTAGGAGTCTTAAAGTTATTCTACTTGAAATGCCTTAATTTTTAGGACTAAATCTACCTTTAGCTGTGGGATTGTCATAGCTCTGACAGCTAGAGACACAAGATGCCGGTTTCTACATAGTCAACTCGTTAAAAACACTGTAAAGCCTTTCCTGTCACATCCACTGTATTTACATTGTGCACAGTATGTATCCAGCTTCAGCAGCACCAGTCTGCCTCTAAAACACAATTTATTTGACTTTCACACATATAAAACTGACCAGTGTAATCAATCAGTGTTATCGATCAGTTACCTTCAGTGTTGTGCAGCCATCTAGTGCTCAGCACAGGCACAGCTATAACCTTGTCAGTCGTGACTCGAGATGCAATGAGGTGCTCACAGAGGAAGGTGCATTTACTGGTTTTGTCTTCATTACTCAGACTTCTGACAATCCAAACTAGGCTTACAGCTACTGTAAGGTTTAATTTTATTGTCAATTTTTATGTCAATTATTTTTCTGAACAGTGTTTATTTTATAAAAAGTCAGAAAATTGTGGGAAGTTTCCAAGGGGATGTCTCGTAATAAGCACTGTACTTGGCAGCAGCACCTCCCCCCATCTCTCCAGTGTCCAGGAGGTAACAGTGATGGAAAAGAGAGAGAAGTACAAAATAATCCTGTGAATGTCACTGATTTTGTTGCTTGATAAACAACTCAAATTATTAACTGATTAGGAAAATTGCTGCACATTTTCAGTTAATCAGAGCTGGCTCAAACAAATGAAACACAGTACTGATTGGGGCCAGCATCATTCTCACCTGACTAAGGCTGGTTTCACACCCAACTTGTTCAGTGTAAACAAACACTGGTGCATCGGCCCAGTTAGTTCAGCTCATTGGTGCTGATGAGAAAACTGTCAATCAGACCCTGGTGTGCACTGAACAACCAGAGCGTGACTGTGAACAGAGTCTCAGTCTGCTTCCACCTGGACATTTTCAAAACAAGCCAACCAAACACACGATTCCAGGGTAGCAGATAAATGATTTTAGTATGAAATCAACTGCATAACTACTCGTGTGGCTTTTCATATAAAACACTGTATCCTCCATGTGTATTAGTGACAGAGGTATAAGACAATATTTATGATCATTAGTTTGTATGTTTGCTGCAGTGTGAATTGGCTGCCATGACATCCCTCTGGAAATAAATACAGACTTCCATGATAAGAAATCTAAAAATAGCAGAGTTAAAACATTTTTCTCACCTGTATTGAAATATTTCCATTTTTCATATTTGCATTTTAATTTGAAGTCACACACTATTATAGCAGAATAAAACAAAAACAAGTTTTATAACAGTAAAATAACATGTCACCTGTTGAGTTTCTTTCATTAAAACATCCAAAAGCAGCAGGATGCTTTCTCCCTGCAGTAAAATGTCAGCAGGAGACACACAACTCACAAACTGCATGTGACATCTGCGTGTTTCTCAGTCCAGCTCTTGGTTCATTTAGGAAGTCAGTGGGAACATGAGCAGAGCAGAATTACAAGGCAGCAGTGGGTCTACACATCCCTCACACTGCAGCATCACCAAGCTACCAACAGCAGACCTACCAGCAAGTAAACATGTGTGTCTGCGTGTTGCCCCACCTGGTAGGACCTCTCCATGGTGATGGCGAAGTAGTACTCTCTGCGTGGATACCTGCGCTCACAGATGAACACCTGGTTGCAGATGCGACCGGCCTCCCCAGTCTGCTTGGTGTACAGCTTTCGACCAATCATCTGGGATGAAATGTCACGGGCCTCCTCTGGTCTGGAGAGGACGAGGAAGGAAACTCAACAGGGGTTCTGAAGGGTTCGGGCTATTAAATGTCTGCCTCACAATCAAACCGGCTGCAACTAAGGATTAAGTTCAGGAATTGTTTTGTCTGTAAGGTGTCAGAAAACAGTGCAAATTGTCCAGCAGTTTCCCACAGTCCACAGTGAAAAGTCAAATGTGTTCAGTCGGGAGGGACAAAGACAAGCATCATTGCAGAAGCTGGAACCTGCACACTTTAGGTGAAGAGGTGATTCAGAACATGTACTGTCGATCAATTAATCATTGCAGCACCAAAGTCAGAAAGTGATATTCCAGTTGTTTTTCAGTCGTGTAGCAATAATTCCTGTCAATATAATTATTTAAGTGAATGGGGCCTGGAAATATGGATGAATTAACCAGTAAAAATGATTCATTTATTTAGCTTCATTTAGTTTTGATCTAAAATTGACACGACCTTTCTGATCTTCCTAGATACTCTAACAGTGGAGTTGAGGAGGGTGAAGGCTGTGACGGACCGGCAGACACCGAGGATGTAATATGAAAGAAAACACCACGTACACGGCTTCCCTGTCACATGTGAGGTCTGAGAAACTCCCATAAACCTGCCGTCTGAGTAGAGACCCTTAATGAGCTGCTGGCATTGTAACCAAGGTAACCAAGTACAATTACTGGTACACTTTTTCTTTTTGTGGCACTTTCTACTTCACTACAGGAAAATACTGTACTTTCTACTGCACCAACTATTCTTCTACTTTTGTTTTGCTTTATTAGATCTATTTTATTCTTTCTTTACTGAAACATTTCTGTTGTAAACACACACACCGGCGACAAAGTAGCTGCTCATAGGGTGTTTGCTTTGGTTAACATGGTAACCCCCAGGTGTCAGCAGATCACCCAGGATTATGTCTGATTATCAGTGTTAATGGCAGAACGCTGTTGGCATTAGATTTGTGTTTGATGACAGAGGCTGGAACACTTACGAGTAGACGATCTTCACTCCTCCCTTCAGTCCGCCCTCGAATGTCCCCTTCCCTCTGCCACCAGCCAGCACCTGAGCTTTCACCACCAGGTCCTTTGAACCTGACACACACACACACACACACACACACACACAGATACTATTTAAAGACTGTGATATTAACTGACAGGGATCAAACTACAGGATGATGACAGAGATGCCCACCTAAACTCACAGCCTCCTCTGTGCTGGAACAATACGCCAGTTTGGCAACAATGAAAATGGCATTATTTGTGAGAATTCAGTCAATTCATTTAAAGAAAAACCCCAAACCTTGTTTGGTTCTCAGCAAACGTTTGAAATGTGAGGATTTGCTGCTGTTCTCAGTTTTATACCTCAGTAAGCGGAACCTCTTTGTGTTCTGGACTGTGAAGATGCCACCTTGGTCACTGCGAGACCATCAGGGACAGATTCCACTGATCTACTGAAACAAATGAGTGCTCCTCAGTTGACGTCTGAGAGTGTCCAGGGACAGGTCAATTCTGTCTGCTCTTCATGTTTTCCAGCTGTTCTCCAGCTGCAGAAGCCCAGCAGTGAGCTCCTGAACACACTGCTCCTCTGAGAGGAGCGGGTGCACTCGGTGACTATTTATGTTGCTTACATGTCTTTACTGTTTAGCCTACAGTTTCAGTTACTGTGGGTGACCTACCTAAACTTTCTTCCCAATCACCACCTTCATTCACACTTGTGTGGGGATTTGTGTGAAGATGCTGGGTGTAGCCACTTGTGTTGTCGGATGAGACCAGGTCAGGCTCAAGAGACATCTGTGGGCATCAGCAGAGTCCCAGTTCTACTTTTCCTCCTGCAGCTCAGAGCTGTGAATTAGGAGCTTCATTACCTGGATCGAGGTTGTGAAACTCAGGAGTAGTGGTCAGAATGTTCCAGCTGCTGTTTCACTGTGCCTCAACAATCAGTGGGGGCGGCTGTGGCTCAGAAGGTAGAGTGGGCCGGCTCCTAATCGTAAGGTCCGCAGTTGGATTTCCAGTTTCTCCAATCCACATGTCAAAGTGTCCTTGAGCAAGACACTGAACCCCCAGTTGCTCCTGGTGATGTCACAGGTGTGTGAATGGCCAAATAGTGTGAGTGTGCTTTGAGTGTGCTGCAATGCATAGAAAAGCGCTGTACAAGTATAAGACCATTTACTATTCAATATCAATCAACAATCAATATTGCTGATCATCTGCTGCTCAGCTCATTTTCAGGTCGGAGAAACGGGTTGTCCACGGTAATGCACCTGCTTCAGTCAGGATCATGTTGATTCATGTAGTAGGACTTCTGGTCCAACAACTTCTTCAAGTCATTTATAGTTTAAGTTACTTGAAACTATGAAAGCTGAACTTAATGAGATTCTACAAGGGATCTGAACTGATTCAGATTTGGTAGGTGGATCCGATACTGGATTCAGAAAGAGCGAATCCTACCAGCAGGGTTACTAATTTCTAGCTATTTGTAAGACCAGTGAAGTGCCTGTACTGCTGAGCTCACCCTGGCTTCAGATGAAGCTGCCTGTCGAGCCAATGCAGCTGGCTAATGTACAGTGGGTACGGAAAGTATTCAGACCCCCTTAAATTTTTCACTCCTTGTTATATTGCAGCCATATGCTAAAATCATTTAAGTTCATTTTTTTCCTCATTAATGTACACACAGCACCCCATATTGACAGAAAAACACAGAAGTTTTGACATTTTTGCAGATTTATTAAAAAAGAAAAACTGAAATATCACATGGTCATAAGTATTCAGACCCTTTGCT